TGACAGTCAGAAATTGTGCCTCTCAATATTAATGACATACATTATCTGTATAATAATATTCATGACAGGAAATGACATCAAAACATGAAAATGCGTTAAAGGTAAATTAAAGGGAAGAAATGTTTTCAGGTGTATTTTTTACAGTTATTATTAGACAGATGGATCAAAGTGGGACACCTGAACGTTTCTCCTCACCGCTACAACACAGGACACTGATCATGACGGCCGTGGCAGCACCACGAAAGTAAAAACGATTAGACAGCATGCGCCTGATGCAGCTTCATGATTCGGTTTGATTCGTGGAGCTCCAGCACCACACACCCGCCCCCTGCTAGCTGCTAACAACACCGTAACACTTATAACCAAAGGAAACCCCGGATGTGTTCTCACCAAGAAAATGTTTCTCAGATCGTCACATCTGCTGCTTTTCCTCTCAGCCGCGGACATTTTCTCCCTTTAGACAAAACTTTTACCGACATAAATGTCAACGTGTGATGTCTGGTTAGAGGTAGCTTGTTAAACAGCGGTCGGCTCTGGACTCTGATTGGTTCTTTTCTCGTCTAGTCCCGCCTTTCCCATTTGCTGATTGATTATTTTTTTCCGGTCACCCGTCTTTTCCGTTTAATGATTTGGATTTTTGTTTCTGTCAGTTTTCGTTGTCTTCTCTTATTCGTCAACGAAAACGTTGGTCAATACTCATCATAATTTTACGGAGGAGGATTAGGGCCGCTGAAAAGGAAAGAAAGAGAATTCTGAGATTAAAGTCAGAATCCAGTTTCTTTTCCTTTTTTTTGTGGCCCTAATCCTCTTCCGTATAGTAAATCATTATTGGTGCGTATGTTTTCGTTTTGTTGTAGTCCGTGAAAATTCATCTGTCATAACCCCCCCTGAAAATATGTAGTCAATCAATTTAACACTGCTATGTAAGCATAAACCCAGTGTTGTGCCCGCCAAAATAAAAAAATTGGTTATTTTTTTTATTAAAATATAGCTTTCAAAGTACCCAGCAAACATTCGGACATTTAATCAATGTTGAAAAGACGTCGGGCCGACACGTCCCCTCACGGTTGAAAAATAGTTCCAAAATGAATGTTGAAGCAACGTCTTTTCTGGACGTGAATTACACGTAACAATTATACATGTAACTACAAATCTGAGTGGATTTTTAGGAAATTGTATGTAAAATTTTGTTTAAAATTTGGACCGTTCTACCACGATCATTTTTGACCGTGGACACCACGTCGCCGCTGGACCAATGATATTTAGGGTCCTACCGCGACTATTTTTTGGCCGTGGACACAACGTTGTTGTCGGACCAATATTTGCTGGGATGCTATGTCGAACTACACGTAACTAATTGTCAAAATAACAATTATACATATAACTGTAGGCATGTACAAATGTATCTGAATGGATTTTTAAGACATGTTCTGTTATATATATATATTTTTTGCAAATTCGGGCCGTCCTACCGCGACCATTTTTGGACGTGGACACCACTTCAGCGTCAGACCAATGTTTGTTGGGTAATCACTGCACCTTCATTCTGAACACCTCTAAACGCCCCATGGAGGTATTTTTTTGGTAAATATAGCTTTTTATTAAATTGCTCCATATTCAACCTTTAACGTTCATGGACTCACCCATCTTGACTCACGATGGGGAAGGCTGTTGTTAGCACAGACATATGAGAACCAGTGCTTGGCTCCGCAGGTGCAGCTGGTGTTGTCTGAAGTCTGTTGCATATCTGTTGAGGTGTTTTTTTTGCAGAGCAAAGCTGCCCTCCTTCTGGAGAGTAACTCTGAAGTGCCTTTTTTCCCTCCACCTGAACCAATCCTCATGTAACCCTCTTATCTCCATTAAGGTAGCGCGAATCAGGGTTGCGAATGACCACAGTCACCAATTTTTGTCATGTGTCTTGCCCATGTATGTCTGATCTCTGAATTGTGTGTACTGAAACTCTCATTTCCCTCTGGGATTAATAAAGTATTGATTGATTGATTGATATAAACGTAGTCACCTTGTGGACTGGCAGTGCCTGCTGAAGATGCTGTAGAAGAAGAAAGTATAATTTCTATAGCGCTTCTCAAGATAAAAATCACGAGGCGCTTAGAGGCCGGCCGCCATCTTGGATGGGTCCCCACTTGCCCCCAGTGCATTCATTTCTACTGAGGGAGGTGCTTACTCAACTGAAAAACACATTTCATCAAGCTTTTTCACAAAATCAGATGCGAGGTATGGCATAATAATTAAAATATAAATACATAATTAAACAAAATAAATTTAAATATAGACTCAGGTAAGCTATAAAACTCACTAGTAATCCTACGTGATCAGTTTTCAATTGTATGCTGGTTGGTGTAACTGTAGGCTGCACAAAAACAAGCATAGTTGCTCACTCTGCATTGACTTTGGAGAGTGATGAGACCCATCCAACATGGTGGCGATGCTGTTACGCTGCAGCGCCCAATGGGGCATCTACGTATTCATGTCTATGGTTGTTGGTTTAGCGCCCAGGAAGCAGCAGAGAATGACTCGGCTTGTAGAAGCTAACTGTTAGCATTAGCAACTCCACCACACAGCAGAACTCCACCAGGTTTGTGTTATTTGTGGTGACAAAGCATCAGCGTTGCAGAGCAAACAGAGTCAGCAGTAGAGTCACTTTGCTTTTAGCCAATCAGAGCTAAGATGTCTGATTATCAGGAAATAAGACTCCAAATCTGACCGTGTTAAGCGCTCCTCTGACGTGGCATTCTGCTACTTCCTGAAACAGCCGCATCTGGCCTCACTCCCTTCACCGGGTACAACGTGCAAGGCATTCGTTCCTATTAGAGAAAACCTCAAACGTACAGGTGCTGGCCAGTAAATTAGAATATCATCAAAAGGTTGAAAATATTTCAGTAATTCCATTCAAAACGTGAAACTTGTACATTATATTCATGCAATGCACACAGACCAATGTATTTCCAATGTTCATTACATTTAAATTTGATATTCATAAGTGACAACTAATGAAAACTCCAAATTTGGTATCTCAAAAAATTAGAATATTCTGAAAAGGCTGAATATAGAAGACACCTGCTGCCACTCTAATCAGCTGATTTACTCAAAACACCTGCAAAGGCCTTTAAAAGGTCCCTCAGTCTTGTTTTGAAGGCACCACAATCATGGGGAAGACTTCTGACTTAACAGCTGTCCAAAAGACAATCATTGACACCTTGCACAAGGAGGGCAAGACACAAAAGGTGATTGCTAAAGAAGCTGGCTGTTCGCAGAGCTCTGTGTCCAAGCACATTAACAGACAGGCGAAGGGACGGAAAAAATGTGGTAGAAAAAAGTGTACAAGCTCTAGGGATAACCGCACCCTGCAGAGAATTGTGACGACAAACCCATTCAAAAATGTGGGGGAGATCCACAAAGAGTGGACTGCAGCTGGAGTCAGCGCTTCAAGAACCACCACGAGGAGACTCATGAAAGACATGGGATTCAGGTGTCGCATTCCGTGTGTCAAGCCACTCTTGAACAAGAAACAGCGCAAGAAGCGTCTCGCCTGGGCCAAGGACAAAAAGGACTGGACTGATGCTGAGTGGTCCAAAGTTATGTTTTCTGATGAAAGCAAGTTCTGCATTTCCTTTGGAAATCAAGGACCCAGAGTCTGGAGGAAGAGCGGAGAAGCACAGAATCCACGTTGCATGAGGTCCAGTGTAAAGTTTCCACCGTCAGTGATGGTGTGGGGTGCCATGTCATCTGCCGGTGTTGGCCCACTCTGTTTCCTGAGGTCCAGGGTCAATGCAGCCGTCTACCAGGAAGTTTTAGAGCACTTCATGCTTCCTGCTGCTGACCAACTTTATGGGGATGCAGACTTCACCTTTCAACAGGACTTGGCACCTGCACACAGTGCCAAAACCACCAGCACCTGGTTCAAGGACCATGGTATCCCTGTCCTTGATTGGCCAGCAAACTCGCCTGACCTTAACCCCATAGAAAATCTATGGGGTATTGTGAAGCGGAGGATGCAATACGCTAGACCCAACAATGCAGAGGAGCTGAAGACGACTATCAGAGCAACCTGGGCTCTCATAACACCTGAGCAGTGCCACAGACTGATCGAGTCCATGCCACGCCGCATTACTGCAGTTATTGAGGCAAAAGGAGCCCCGACTAAGTATTGAGTGCTATACATGCACATTCTTTTCATGTTCATTCTTTTCAGTTGGCCAACATTAGAGAAACAAACATTTTTTCATTGGCCTTTAGAATATTCTAATTTTCTGAGATACCAGATTTGATGTTTTCATTGGTTGTCACCTATAAATATCAAAATTAAACGTAATAAACATCGGAAATACATTGGTCTGTGTGCATTGCATGAATATAATGTACAAGTTTCACGTTTTGAATGGAATTACTGAAATATTTTCAACCTTTTGATGATATTCTAATTTACTGGCCAGCACCTGTATATGATGATGTGTTGAATAAACGAGTGTCCTACACCTTTAATCTGAGTGATTGTATGTGATTTTAGAATATCACTCTGGTTTGTGCAGTTTCAATCAAAATCACTATTTGTTTTTGTGTTTTTGTTGTATTCAAAATAATTTACCTGCTATTTTTTACAGTCATTGTTATAAAATGTTGCACATTTTCCTTTTCACTTATAAAAGTTGAGCTTAATTAGAATAAAACGCATGATTGGGAGACACAGAAGTATCTTCAAACATGATTGTTTAAAAGGATTTCACGCCACAGAGAGGGTGTTTGCATGTGGACTGAAATGTTGTCATCCTAGCCTTCGACTCTGCCAAACATTTTCCTGAATCTCCCAAAAAAATCTCTCAAACCAGCAAATTTATCTTGGAAAAATAAAATCAAAGGATGCAGCAACTGCCTTTCTTCCAGTTTGGACGTGTTTCTGTAATTTTCAAAGCAAAGTAAGTCTTCAGTTAGTAACTCCTGCCGGTCTCTGCTCTTTGTCTTGTGTGTGCGTCTGCTGCCAGGGAAGTGGAACAGGCAGGTCTGTCGGACTTGGAGATCATTTCCCAGCCGGTGGAGGATGAGAACCAGTGCTTGGCTCCGCCGGTCCAGCTGGTGAGCTTTGGCTACAGAGATCTGCCGCTCGCAGCTCTGGACCTCTCATTGGCCGGCTCGCAGCTGCTCTCCAACGCAGACGAAGACGAAAACAGGGAAGGGTGAGTAAAATTTATGGTTGTTCAGTCTGTTTCTGTGATCAGCACGATTAAATACATTTGAAAGAAAAACAGAAGAAGATGCTTCTTTGACTGGACGGTAAAGAAGACTGCACCATATCCGAGATATACATCTAAATATTATTATTTATTTAAATACTCATGGAAACAACTCTAAATGTCTGACATTAGGATCTCTCCTTCGTTGCCGTGTTGCTTATATTTTACATTAGTTGACATTATTTTTTTGACCTCTTTATGATTTGGTGAAAATATCTAGAGACGATATCATCCTTCTCATCCATTCATTTCCAAACAATTGATCTGATTGTGGGGAGGGCTGATTTTGTTCCTGTGCCTTTTTCTCTTTTAGATTTCCTTCATGTTTTAGGGAAACTGGGAGAGGAAATGAGGGTAAAAGTGTCCAGATTAAAACCAAAATGTTGAAGAAAAAGTTTAAACATTTCCAGGAAAAAGTCGAAACTAGGCTGCTCTAAGGATGGCCACAGGAAGCAGAAGTGTGGAGGCACAAAACTTCCTTCAATCCTTCAAAATAAAAGACTCAAATACACACATTTAAATATATACTATGAAGTAGTTATTAATATGTTTATCACTGTTCTCTGGTTAAACTCGTGCCGCAGCCTAAACTGGCTGCAATTATGAGATTTCACTTGTGGTTTAGTGTTTGATTCCTGTTTTTAAGTCTCAAAATACCTTTAATATTGACACATTATTTACTTTTTTGTCTCAACATTTTGACTTTATTCATTTCAGATTTTATTCTCTAGAAATTTCAAATCTTAATCTGGAAATCAGTACTTTGCCATTTTTCTCAGCCTGTTTTGTGGCAGCATGCCCAAAATGCCTACTTTAACACATTCGGATTGTAATGATTTAAATGACATGTTATTTAATAAGCCATAAGGCGTAGGATTCCATAGGAAATATGAAATCCACCTTAGGGATCTGTGGTTATTTAAACCAGAAAATTGGATCTTTTTAATGCAGGGATTAGATAACAGCTTCGTATTCACTCAGAGACAACAGAAGAGAGAGTCAAGTTTAAAAGTTAAGAATTTTATTACTAACAAATTAAACTAGACTGACTTTCAGCACTAAATGTGTGGTGTAACTAAGGTGGATGAGATGGTGAATGGATGACGTGTGATGTTGATCAGAACCAGCAAATCCGAAGCTGCGATTAGTTCTGATGGGAACTGAAGGTGATGTCTTCGCGTTAAGCTTTGGTTAGGAGGTTCATAAACACGTTGGACGCCGTTTGCCGGTCTACCTACCCTTCAGGAAGTCCCCTTTAGATCAGGAATGTCGAGGTCTAGCTTGACCTTCTCTGGGAACCGAGCCGGTAGGAAAAGCAGCAGTTGCCGACCAGACCAGTCTGTGAGTTACTTGGGTCTTGATACTTGGGTGAGCCTGGGTCTTGATGGTTTATTTAGCAAGGAACCGTTGAAGCAGTTGGAACAAAAACGAATTTTCCAGCTTGTCGTTGTTCTTTCGGTTAAAGAGAAAAGTTACAGATTGGCCACTCCGACACTTTCTCTGGAAAGCTTTGAACTGGCGTTAAAGATGGCGTGGGCATAGTTTTATACTTCGGATGTTTTGGTTTATGGTCGAATGAAAAGTTGACAGGTTTTACCCAACACCATCAAAACCACGCCTCCATCAGATCTGGCAGATTCTGATTGGATCAGTGAAAGTAATGTGTCATGTCTCTTAACGCTACGTGAAATGAGTCCTGTTGGAACATTTAAAGTCATATTACTTATTATATTCTATAGGATTATAATAAAGTAATTAATATTTTGATTTCACAGATCGGTCACATCTTATTTATTGACTAACACTTGGTCGGATTAGCTTTATTGAAATAGAGTTCTTTGATTAATTAAAGAAAAGAGTTCATTCTTCATTCTTCTGTTGAGCTGAAAATAAGCAGGTTAGAAGGAATGCATGAGACCTTGAGACCATATCTCATGCAGACTAGTCCTGTGTCATAGGAGGGGGAAAAACTGTCATTTCCTTCCGTTACAGGATTATAATCTCAACACTTAAAAGCCTTTCAGTGAAGAACAGGCTTCCATGCATTTTATTGTTTATTGTGCTATTTGGACCCCCATAGCTTCCACAGCAGTGGTTGCCAATCTTCCTGGGGTCCATTTTCAAAATACAAAATACATTTAACAATACAAATGATTAAAACATTATAAATTATTACATTAGAATTTTAAAAGCTGTAGTAGCCAACCAGTACCATTGACAAGATCCCCCTTAACTTGCAGAGCTGTATTTCGTCTCGTTCTATCACAACTGCTAGAAGAAGACAATAACAGAAAATGCTTTTAATACAGTAGCCTTTTTTGAGTTCTTCTTAAAAGCGCTCTGCTTTTGGATTTCCCTAACACAACCTGGTAGTGGATTCCACTCAACTGTCCGTCTATATGGTTTTCTTCATAAAATGACTTCTAGGTCTTGGCACTGTCACCATGTTATTGCTTACCAAGCGTGTTACGTGCTCATGGCCATATCCACTAAGTAATATTTTGTCTTTCATATGATGATGAATGCTATTAGTCATAACTTTTTGCACAAACATCAGAAGACTATCCATTCTTTCGTTCTTTTTTAAACACAGAAACAGTTTTGTTTACCTGTTTGTAGCTACAGTTTCGCCGACAGCTGCCGGCTTCTTCAGGCTGACGCTGATGGTCATCAGACATCATCAGCATATGACACTTCTCACCTCTATGTGACTGGCCAATCACAGAGCGTGAAGACAGTCAGTTACCCAATGAGGACTTTCCTTCAGCACGATTACAGAAATTTAAGAGTTTTACTCGCTTCATGCTCGTATTCGTCAAAAATGCTTAATCCGTACCGGATACTCGTCTGAAACGAGTATCCGGCTCATCCCTTGCTGTAAACACCCTGCCCTGCCTCCTCCTCCTTGCTGCATGCCGGCTGTGATCACAAGCAACAACAGAGTAGTTCCCGCTGCTTCTTCGGGAAACGGCGCAAAAAAAAAAATCAATAAAACTTGGGATCTTGTAGGCGTTGCACTGGGATTTCAGCTGTGGCGGCCCGCCACGGCTACGCATATGTAAGGGAAACACTGACAGTGATTGGTCTACTATTAGATCCAGTGAAGCCTGCCTTTCCATCTTTGAGCAGAGGTAAAGTTTTTAACCGTTTCCAGAGATCTGGAAAAGTACTACTTAAAACAGACCTATTAAAAATATGACATGTAGGTTTAGAAAGCTAAATGATGGCCATTTTAAGTATTTTTCCATCAAGATTGTCTATGCCTGTCTATATCTTCCGAAAGACTAAGTACCAACTTCTCAACAACATCACGCGTTACAGTTTTAATATTACATTGACAGTTTTCCCCCACATTAACTTATCAACTAATTTACACGGGTCACTGTCAATAATTTCCATATGTGATCTTAAATTGTTAACTTTTTAAATGAAAAATTAATTTAAATACTTTGCAATGTCATATGGTCTAGTAATAAATTGCCCCTCATGTTCCACAAGTTTTGGATGTGATTTGGCCTTTTTGCACATTATTACATTCAATATTTTCCACAGTTTTTTTTACGATCATTAAGAGATGAATTTTCTGCTCAAAATAATCTCTCGTTTTACTATAATTTAGTTTTGTGACCTTAGTTCTTAATGAACTGTAAGTGTTCCTGTCTACAGAACACCCTGAGTTTTGCGCAATTGCTTTGGCTTTATCCCTTAGAAGCATCAGAGATCTCAACTCACTATCCAACCAAGGTGTGCTGTTGTGGACCTTTTTCTAAGAGGAGCCTGCTTATCAACCAATGCCATGAGTTTATCCATAAAAATGTTAAGAGAAACATTAATATGCTGTTCTTCACAAACATCTGACAATATTATTGATGTCAGATATGAATAAATCAGGATTAAATTTCTTAAATAGCTACGAAGGACAACCGTGCCTCCTGCTTTGGGCATTTTTGGTATTTCTTGACAAAGCAATCAAATTATGATCCCTACACCCCACAGCTTTAGTAATGATTTGTGCACACAGCTCTGGAATATTAGTAAATATCAGGTCAATACAAGTTGATGTCAATGTGCCGCGGTATGTTCTAGTGGGTGACGTGACCATTTGAGTGAGGTTACATATGCTAGCCATGGAAGACAGTTTTTTGCGTGAGTGACAATGTTTGGAAAACCAGTCTCTATTAAAATCCCCTAGGAGAAAAATATCTTTGTTTTCCTTAGACGCTCTGTCTGAAGTGTGGCATATTCTTTCTAAACAACACAGGTGAGAGTTGGGAGGCCTATAACAGCAACCAACTAGACAAGGCTTACAGTGAGGCATGTGGATCTGAAGCCATAACATTTCAATTTCAGCACACATTATATCGTTTCTTGGTAAAACGGCATTATAGAGCTCCAGGAGTTGACGTCACTTCTCCCGGCATGCAACAGTTCAAATCGAAACAGCGCCATATTGGCAGGCAGAAGCCCGCAGCTAGGCTATTTGTTGTTGTCAGAAAACTCAATCAAACAGGAAATATGATAGATTCCTGTTGTGCCCCAGGATGCAGAACAGACGCGGACGACATAAGGAATGAGCCATCTACAGGATTCCCCAAGATCCGGAATGCCGCAAACGTTGGATCATTGTAATAAAACGCGCAAGCGACTGGGCTAAAATGAAGCTGTGAGATCCCGGGAGTAAAGGTTTTTGCTTATGCAGCGACCGCTTCATATCAGATACTTAAACCAACGTTTCCTCAGACAGAAAAAGCCATGCCAAAATAAGTTTAGGAAGCCCACTAAGAATCGTAATAAAAGCATTTAAAATAAATACCATACACAGTTGAGGAAACGTTGGTTTAGGTACTTGATATGAAGTGGTCGCTGCATAAGCGAACACCTTCACTCTCGGGGTCCCACAGCTTCATTTTAGCCTGGAGGCTAGCGCGTTTTATTGCGATGAT